ATACACATTAGTACACACTTTGTTCAAATTAAATCGTGCACAACGTTACACTTTGTACATTTCTGTGTACAATGGTTGCGTTTAGCAGAGAAAGCTGCTTTGCAACTGTGTAAAATTCGTGAATCTGATTGGTACATGCTCTTGGATTTAACCAAATTAAGAGCATACTTCAATCGGATTCACGAATTTTACAACAGTTGCAAAGCAGCTTTCTCTACTGAACGCAACCAATGGGCGCATTCAGTAGAAAAAGCGCTCAGTGAGCAATCAACGATTATTGGTTCTTGCTATTAGATCCCTAAATCTAGACCAATTACATTGACAAATTACTCAACAGTTGCACAACAGTTGAGTAATTTGTTAATGTAATTGGTCTAGATTTAGAGATCTAATAGCAAGAACCAATAATCGTTGATTGCTCACTGAGCGCTTTTTCTACTGAATGCACCCAATGTGTCAAGATGTGTTAAGCAATTGGAAAGCACCTCAAACCATTACGACCTCGATTCTGCATCGCCCATATTTCACTTGTAGTTGAATCTCATGAAGATCGTATACACCGTGGATTAAGCTGAGCAGTCACTACAGAAAATCCAATATGGTGTCCGTGTTTCAGCGGTTTACATCGGATGCCCGTATTTCGAAGTAAAATCGTAATCCGGCAAACGCGGACTTTAGCGGTAATTATGAAAATTCGATTGAAAGCGTCGCGTCGCACGTAAAAGTTCTCATGCTACTGCGTTTCGCGCACGACCAACAAACGTGAGAAAGAGAAAAGGAAAGAGAGAGAGAGAGAGAGAGAGAGGGATCAGTGCCTCGAAGACAGAGTGGCGAGACCTTCTGTCTTTTGGTGTGTTAGAATTTTGCGAAATAGAAAAATACCGAAAATTCGAGAATGGAAACTGACAAGGTGGAGGTTAGCGCGAAAGTGAGTGATCCTGAGGCGGCGGCGATAAAAATTAAAGAGACGAAGCAGAACTCAATAGCAGACGTTACGACGTTAGATATAAAGTCGCGACTCAGTTTAGAGACGACGACAGAAGCTCACAGCGAGCCTCGCGTCAACGGGGTAGCTCAAGTGAATGGTATCTGCGACTCTCCTCAAAGAACTACCGATATCGCCGATCTTTCCCTACAATCTGGAATAATGGGAACTAGTCATTTAAACCAACATGGTATGCAGTGTATACAACAGACTTGTGCATATCTTGTGTTATTTATATTGCTATCCTAAAAAGACTTCATAATCAACTATTGAAATATCCCTCCTGCATCATCTCCATATCTTTGTTTATTACTTCTAAAGCTATCTTGCTTGCTAAACTTATGTTTTAAACAATTTCCTTTGTTAGTTTCAAGTATTTAGTTAGATTTTATGAATATGATGGTGGTATTATTGCTTGTATTTTCCTACAACAGTAAATATAAAAGTGAATAATGATTTAGCTGTAATATATTTACTGTTTGCTATATTACAGAACAAGCGAAAACATTAGCTGTGGAAAGTAAAGACAACGATATCCAATATATTAGTTATACGAGCGAGTTGCAAATGCCTGATATTATGAAATTAATACAGAAGGACCTAAGTGAACCATATTCTATTTACACATATAGATATTTTATTCATAATTGGCCGAAATTGTGCTTCCTGGTATGTATGCTCTGAAAATCATTAATTTCACTTTACTCAAGTAACACTGATGTATGCCACTATTGTACATGTTATTTCATACCAATAATAGACTACTGTAATTTACGACAAAATACTCGTAAGATACATGATTTTGGAAGATATTAAAAACTAATAAGGGACACTACTCAAGTGTGACACACCATTTTTCTTGAAACTCAGCATGCATATAGCATATGACATGACATTTCATGTGATATTTTATATCAGTTCGTTTTTTAATTTTTACAATTATTTAGACAATTGTTTATAGATTTTGGACTTATGGATTTCAAGTTTACAGATTTATAGGTTTTCGAGTTATGGGCTTTGAGTACATACATGCACTCAAGATGGGTCTACATGTTTATAATTTTTAGGTTTATGTATTTTTAGGTTTACATGTTATGGGCTTATAGATATCAGTTTTTACATACATTACTATTTCGAATTTTGTTTAAACAATCATCTAATTAATTGTGCAAATTAAAAAACAGATCAATATAAGATATCACATATGAATTGTCATATGTGCATGCTGAATTTTAAATTAAATGGCGTGTCATATTTGGATAGTGTCTTCTCTAGTAAGAGAAGAATTTAGCCACTTTGACCTCGATTCCTTTACCTTTTAGTTATAAGATTTATAGAAAATCTTTACTTTTTGTTCATCAAGGCAATGCATGGTGACGAATGTGTGGGTGCCATTGTCTGCAAATTGGACATTCATAGGAAGGTGATAAAGCGCGGTTACATCGCGATGCTAGCCGTCGACGTAAAATATCGAAAACGGAAGATCGGCTCGAATCTTGTGAGACGAGCCATTCAAGCGATGGTGGAGGACGAAGCGGATGAAGTGGTGTTGGAGACCGAAATTACCAACAGACCAGCTCTACGTTTATATGAGAACCTTGGATTTGTACGTGATAAACGATTATTTCGATATTACTTAAACGGCGTGGATGCGTTACGACTGAAATTATGGCTCAGGTGAAATTCATCTGCGTGCTTATGTCAATAGGTATTTAAATAATTACAATGTTGAAGAGATGTAACATCTATGCTCTACTATGTCAGACAGAAGAAGTATATGACATTAATGTCAAAGAGATTATATATACATATATATTTCCACACGCACAAACGTGTTTTCAGTTGCGGCGTCAGTGCGATTTGCTTTCGCGAAAAATTGCAAATGATAAATCTCATGAAAAGATTTCACGATGGTTTATCCAATTCTCTGTGTTTACTCGATCGTCCAACTAATGTAAGAACTTTACATTGCGACAGGAATATCCTTAAATTTATCTTTACAAGCTATCTTTCAACACCAAATTCGTTTCTTTTATCTCTAGATGAAAATCTACCCTAATAGCCTACTGACAGTACAGAATGTTGCACTAATATACAGGTCAGTGCGACGAGTAAAACAATTTGCAACATGCTTTTTCATATTTCTTTTAATGGCAAAAATGAGTGTAATCTGTTATATCTAAGCTGAATCTATGTCCTGATATGCATATTTTTCAGCAGAGTGAAAAATATGTAACCCGTCACACTGACCAATATGTTGATGCATCACTTTGTACATCTACTAAAATCAGAATCTTAATATATGTATAGATAAAGATATTGTATAATTTGTTAATAGTGCCTAACTGACTGTTAGTTATTTTGTTAATTTGCTGCAGTTCCTTTGATATTAATGTCAATGAAAGAGATAGATTTCAATTGCAGCTTGAAGATATAAAATTGAGGGGTGATATAGCAAGTGACAAAATCGAGACTGTGAAAAGTGTACTGAAAAATAATCAATGTTTGCTGCATCTCACATTGATGAAGTGCACACCTTGAAGCAATGTATATATTCCTTATATTATAATTGACTCGCGTGATCTTACATCTTACATCGGTATTATGTTACTACAAATTGTGATTCGAGTGTGTGACAATTTTATATCCGGGGAATATCGTTACGTTTATGAAGATTGAGTGGAGAAATTTATAGGTTTATCGCTCTCACATCTCTAACCATTTAATTTATTTGCTTTAATCATCTTAATGTGGAATATAATTTATAAAATCGCGTTAATGTATTTAAAAAAAAAGAAAGAGAACTGCTATATATCGCATATTGTAGACAGCTGTCGCGTGATGTTGCATCAAGTGTACGATTTTGTCAGTGTGAACGGCAGTTTAATAGAAAATAAAACAAAGTCCGACAAAGAGAGGACGGTGGAAACCTCTAGATAAAATATTCCCGATTAAAATTGTAAAGTGATATACGGAAATATCGATATTTATATATTATATTAAACGACGGACACGCAAGAGAGGGACAGAAGAAAAAAAAATAAATTATCGTTTACGAAATTGAAATATTTCGAAGGAAGTACGTCTCGCGACGCGATTGAGCGCGAAGAGCCGTACGCATTATTGTCTACCTATTATATCTATCTTTGTATAAAATAAATGCGAAGCACAGATCACACATAATATACCTATTAAAAAAATGTAAAAAATGTTAATAAAAATGCATAAATGTTTTTACACGTGTCTCGTTTGTGTTGCATATATACCATGTGTGCATTTATAATCATGCTTTATAGAGCATATATGAAAAAATTCTCACTAAAGAAAGTTTCTTTAAATTGATTATTACAAATTACTCGATACATTAAAAAGAAATAAATATAAATAAGTGTATACTATATGTAACTAATCGCTAAAACTAATTCGTTCGTATATACTTTTCTCGAATTTCAAATTAATTTCGGGACGAAATTGGTTCAGATAGCCAATTTTCTAGCTGTCGATCAATCGCGCCTTTAAGCGAACAAGCGGAACTAAAGCCAGCGACACACGGTGCTTGTTTTTGTGCTGGATTGTTTGCTGAATGGAAATACTCTATTTGGAAATACTCTATTTGGATTAGTACATTTCCATTCATCTTCAGAAATGCACTAATCAGAACAAAGTATTTCCATCGAACTAGCGACTAAAGCTAAAGGCACACTGTGCTTGTTTCGTGCTGGATTGCTTGTTGGATAAAAATACTCTGTTTTAATTGGTATATTTCTGAAGATGGATGGAAATGCACCAATCAAAACAGAGTATTTCCATCCAGTAAGCAATCCAGCACGAAACAAGCACCGTATGCCGCTAGCTAAACACGAAAACAAGCATTGTGTGCTGCTGGCTTTAGATAATTGGTCTGTTCTTTTTAGGGTGCAAACTCATGCAGCGAATAGCGGAGCGCGGAATGAGAGCGGAACCAATCATAAGCGGAAGCAATTACGAGCGAAAACTGTAGAACGCGCGTGATTAGTTGCACTCTCGTTCCGCGCTCCGCTATTCCGCTGCGTGGATTTGCACCCAGAGGGTGCCATTACATAAAGCGCGGAACGCGAAAGACAAAATCTTATTAGATTTCCGCATTCCGCAAATTGAATCATTTCTTCCTGTACGTTGAAAAAGCGGAAGGCCCAAAACTTTTCTCTATTGTCTTTTCATCCAAAATACCAAGGTATGAATTCCAAAAAAATATCAGGTTCGAACGTGTTTGAACACGTCTTAATGTAACAGCGATTAAGTTGAACAACTTATGATAACTTGTGACAACTTGTGACAATGGATTTTTCCGCGCTTGTTCCGCGACTTTATTTCTCCTTATATTACATGGAGCACAATTTGCGCGGAAAAGCGGAACGGTTTGGTGACAAATAAACATCTGTATTCATTTTTTAAAATTGTATTAACTTAATTTACTGTAATTTTTACTAATATGTTTATCTTTTCAGCTTATCTGTTGAATACAAGCATTTTAATTAATAAATACCGTTAAATACTTTATAATTCCCCATACCGTATACCGCGCTACATCTAGGGTGTTTACGATAATTCGAGTTGGAGTTAGTACGAATTAGTTTCACTAGGGCTGAAAAATATGATAGTCACAAGCATCTAGTATTTTCATGATTCATGACAACTCAATGCTGTCCGATAAATCGAGTAGAGTAGAGTAGAGTAGAGTTAGGGTAACATAGTGGATAGTATATGTATAAAAATTAACAGTATCAGGTAACATAGTTTCGTAAAATATATAACAATAATATTACTAAACAATGAGTTGTTGCATTTTAGAAAAATTAGAAGCACTAAATTAAATTATGAAAAGGTATCATGTATTTGTGAAATATCCAAAAGTAGAAAACAATTATTCTAACCTATTATTATTGAATATTTCACAAATACATTAAATTAATATCATTTTCATAATTTAATTTAGTGCTTCTAATTTTTCTAAAATATAATAAATAATTGTTTTGTAATATTATTGTTACATATTTTACGAAACTATGTTATCTGATACTGTTAATTCTTATACATATACTATCCGCTATACTACCCTAACTCTACTCTACTCTACTCGATTTATCGGACAGCATTGAGTTGTCATAAATCTTGAAAATACTAGATGCTTGTGCCTATCATATTTCTCGGCCCTAGTGAAACTAACTCGTACTTAATCCAACTCGAATTATCGTAAACAGCCCTAATCGCACTTTAATGGCTCCTGTACACAGGATGCGGTATGCTTGCCGCGCGGCAGAAGTTCGCACGACAGCCAATCAATATGCTGCTTTCCGTAATAACCTTCTAGCTCTTACGGAAAAACAACATATTGATTGGCTGTTGTGCGGACTTCCGCTGCGCGGCAAGCATTACTGCGTCCTGTGTGCAGGAGCCACTACAGAATCCCAGCACAGGGCTGCTATTCCGTTACCGTGGTTCCGACAGTTGTCAGATCGGTAAGCGTCGTTGCGCAATTTTTCCACCGTATAAAAAAGCTGCGCAACGACGCATACAGATTTAACAACTGTCGGTACGCGGGAACGGAATAGTATCCCAGAGCCAGTTGAACATGCTATTAGAATCGCCGTTAGCGATCCATGGTTATATAGTCAAAGGCAGGTCCTTATTTTTATTGTCAGGATGAAAATGAAGGACTCTGATTGGTTCATTTCCTATGCGTGTGTATTTTGCATCCTGCAAAAATGTGTGCTTCCCACTTTAAAATTTTTTTATGTGCAAAGGCCCTTATACAGGATTCACACCGTGTCTGATGTCTGACGTACGACGTCCGATATGCAATAGGAGAACAGCTTTCCAATGGAGAGTTGAATTCTCTATTAGAAAGCTGTTCTCCTATTGGATATCGTACATCGGACGTGGTGTGAATCCTGCATTACGTATATTGTAGATTTTCGCATGCATATCTCATTCGCATACCGTCAAGAATCGGGCCCTTGCATTAGGAAACAAACCCGAGAATTGTGTAGTACGCCGATATGTGTCGCCACAAGTTCCAACTAAATTCGTTACTTACTGCTCTATATACTTCATGTATTTCATGGTACAAGTGCAGTTACGAAACGGTTCCGGTTGGTGTGCATTCATTGTGGAGTGTCGACGACAGGAATTGTACGCACGGTAAGTTGGAAGCACGTAATCTGAATTTCATTGTTCACGAGAAAGCGATCCGCGTGCAAGATATATGAAATAATGTTGAGTATTTCGTAAATTTTCACTCGAGTTTTGTAATTTCGTGCTCGCGATTATACGCACGTCTCTGCGAAACTAATTTCATGACGCACCAATGCTCCTTTCTTCACCGGCCTACCGACATCATCGAATTATATATTATATTACGTATAAAAATTATTTTATCGCCATTCCGTCGCTCATTATTTCGCCGATAATTTCAATTTGCAATGCATTAGTTAGGATAATTTCATTATACTTGCCAGTAACAGCATTTTCGATCGACGGCATAGTATCGTGGCGACGGCCATTACATGAACGCTTTTTCGGCAAAATCGTTATTTTCACGGCTATATATATCGCAGTTCCAGCATTTTTGTTTTTTTTGCACAGGCAACTCCGCTCGCTTACTGTAACGTCGCAAGAAATGAACGCATTATACTCGCAAATGCAATTAAGCAAAATTGAAATTTTTTTTCCATTTTTTACTTGAAACGTTATAACTGGAAACTAGCGTCTTGTTTCTTTGCACATTTTTATACTACTGCGAATTATTTTATGAACGTTGCCGATTGTTTCTTTTTATATTTTAGTAATTCTACTTAAGCTACTTTGAGATAAAATGGCAGATAATGATGATCTTCTGGATTATGAAGATGAGGAGCAGAATGAGCAGCCAGATGGAACTGGAGATGTTCCTACTAAGAAGGAAGTGAAAGGCACATATGTTTCTATCCACAGTAGTGGGTTCCGAGACTTCCTTCTAAAGCCAGAGATTTTACGTGCTATTGTTGATTGTGGTTTTGAACATCCATCTGAAGGTAAATATAAATTGTTCTTTATAATATATGATTTCTATATATTTTATATTGATTTACATCAAAGTGCAGTGATGAATCTAATTTAACAATTAGATAGGGACAACTGAATTTCCATGATAGAGTTAAATATCTGAGAATATTTGCTTGTTAACAATAGCTGTTCTTTTTTTGACATATAATATTTATGACAAATGTTTGCTATTTACAGTTCAACATGAATGCATTCCTCAAGCTGTGCTTGGAATGGATATACTGTGTCAAGCAAAATCTGGTATGGGAAAAACTGCTGTATTTGTATTAGCCACTTTGCAGCAGTTGGAATTGACGGAGAATCAAGTCTATGTTCTGGTGATGTGTCACACTCGAGAATTAGCGTTCCAAATCAGTAAGGAATACGAAAGATTCAGCAAATATATGCCACATGTAAAGGTGAGCTTTGCCTTTTTTTCATGTTAAACTGTAAACATAAAAATGTATCATCTGTTACTATAAAACTTGTTTTATTGCAGGTTGGTGTATTCTTTGGTGGTTTACCTATCCAGAAAGATGAAGATGTCTTGAAGACTGTATGCCCTCATATTGTCGTCGGTACTCCTGGTCGTATCCTCGCTCTTGTACGGAATAAAAAACTGAATTTGAAACATCTGAAGCATTTCATATTAGACGAATGCGATAAGATGCTTGAATTACTAGGTATATCAAGTTTCATTAAACTAAATACGCACCTTATATCGTTGGGCAAAATCTTTACATGATGTGACAATTGCTCTTAGCAAATTATGATGACAATCCTATACCATCCACCAATACTGATGCGATTCTTCGAGATTTATTTCTTTATTCCTCTTGCAACATTTCGAATGACTAGTAACCGTGCGCTTTTATTTCAGACATGCGTCGAGACGTACAGGAAATATTTAGAAGCACGCCGCATAGCAAGCAAGTCATGATGTTCAGCGCTACGTTGTCCAAGGAGATACGTCCTGTCTGCAAAAAGTTCATGCAAGATGTAATTACACAATCTTCCTCTTCACTACGATCTACAATCGCTCCTACTACTACTACTTCGTTGGCCCCGTATTCATATCCAGGACAAAGCTCAGCCTACACTATAAATATCTTTGTCGGCGCATCCGCGGGTTAGGCGACCTAATGACACGGCATTTCGAAGAAACGATAGACGAACGAAAGTTCGGAAACGTTCGAGCGTCTTTCATAGCGGCCCGTAATTGCCACATGCCCAATACTCGAACGTTAATGTCTCGCAACCTCCTCCAAGTATCTAGCTTCTGTTTTCGAACATGTGTCATCTGTGATCACACAGAAGGGAGGAATAATCGTTTGAAATTGATATCTCAATCGCTCAAGACGACAATGTCGATGCAGATCCGATTTAGATTTCGGTTCGGAAATTCAATCTTTTTATTTATCGCTACGCATTCATGCGGCAACGCATTATAAAAGCATACAGATACGTCGGGTGAACGATACGATAGTGTGGGAAAGGGTATAGGGTGTATGAAAGATCTCCATGCTATTTTATAAGCAATCGTTGCAACGGTCAGGGAGGGATAGAGTTAGAATACGATACTGGATTTATGTGATTGATTTGCAATTGGGTTGGGGGGCTAAGAAGACCTCAAGACAACCTCAAGACAGAAGAGTACAAGAAAGAAGATGCAAGAGGATACATAGGGGGAATAATTAAGATTAGTTAGGGAAAAAAGAGAAAAGATATACGAAACAGAGAAGCGTAGCGTAAAAATAACGTTATCCAGTCGCTTGCATTTATATTAGAGCTCTCTTATTTCGTGTAAAGATTTCGATTTTGCAATTACGGCTATTATATACAGCCTATTTCGCACGAGCGACAATTGAGTTCTCGCGAGACGTTATGTATGGGTCGCGCGGTGATTTAACGGATACCGGAAGTGGTTCGAAAAAAAATAAAAAAATAAAAAACGTGGGAGTATGCCAACAATAATTCGCAAGTCGATTCTGGGCATCTCAATGTGCCAGAAATTTGGGAGAAGAGAAAGTTTGGCATCGAGTGGCCAGCGGATGTGACCGAACGTTCATGATGAGTGCGCCTTCTTAAGTTCAGTTGGGGTGACTGCCGAGTTTTCGTTGTTAGCACTACCCAGAGATGGAAGTCGCCGGACCGTATGTAATCTGTATGATGACTAATCCGATCGACAAATTGAACTACACGCATCGCAACTGTGAAATTCATATGAACAGTCTCATTACGAGAGACACATATAAAAGATGTTTGCAAAAACGTATCTTTTATTCATGTCCAAATAAGTAACTCTGTCGAATCTACTTAACATTGCCTCGAGAAAGAAAAATGTGCATTTGAAAATTAGTTTCAGCTTTGTCTTTTTCGCGTGTCGTTTAAAGTTCTAATCTGCAACTTGAAAATATCTTTCATTTTTACGAACATGCGTGTAAAAGAGTTACAGTCGTTTTATACATACATGTATATACGACTAGGACGGAATAGTACAATTTCAGCATATCTCTCCCTATTTTTTTTTTTTCTTCTTTTTCTGATTTGCAATAGTCCCTTCATCATACATTTAACGTTTCAAGTCCAACGTGATTTTTAGATGGCGAAATAACGTTATATGACAAGGTTTCAGAGAGTCGCAGGATCTCGCAGCCTTTTCTTGAAAATTATACAGGCACTATGGTCGACTCAATGGATCTGTGCATTTGATGAAATAACGTTCTTTGTGCAGCCCATGGAAGTCTATGTCGATGACGAGGCGAAGCTCACCTTGAACGGTCTACAGCAACATTATGTTAAACTGAAGGAGAATGAGAAGAACAAGAAGTTATTTGAACTCCTGGATGTACTCGAGTTCAATCAGGTTTGTCCACCTAGGAGAAAAATCTCTTGTCACAATAATTCTATCTTACAATGCTTTGTTCATAACAGAAGAAAATACTTTGAGCATTCGTTTCAAAGCATTCTTTAATTTGACAATGACAATGTTTCACGTTTAATTTATCAATGAGCTTGTACTTATCTTCTACTGGTTGCTTCATAGGTTGTTATATTCGTGAAGTCTGTACAAAGATGTATGGCTTTAGCGCAACTCCTGACAGAACAGAACTTCCCTGCAATTGGAATTCATCGAGGCATGACGCAAGAGGAACGATTATCTAGATATCAACAGTTCAAAGATTTTCAAAAGGTATGTAATCCTCGTCTGTTGATGTGGCGTATAGAGCTTAGAATATGCGTGGATAATCTAATTTACAAATAATTGACACAAATAGACAATTATGTACACATAGCGAAATAATTCGTTTCCAGCGTATCTTGGTGGCGACAAACCTGTTTGGACGTGGTATGGATATAGAACGTGTTAATATCGTATTCAATTATGACATGCCGGAAGATTCCGACACATATCTGCATAGAGTTGCACGTGCCGGTCGTTTCGGTACAAAGGTAACGATACTGATTATCAAGCGTCAAAATAATAAGTGTATTTGACGAATTATTACTAATTTGAAAATGTCTTTATTTTAGGGTCTTGCTATTACATTAGTTAGTGACGAGAGTGACGCCAAGATATTGAACGATGTTCAAGAAAGGTTTGACGTCAATATCACAGAATTACCGGACGAAATTGATCTCGCTTCATACAGTAAGTTTGATTTCTCGACAATTTGACTTGCATTCTATTGTACGCTTGATGATCAATATTTTAACTTATTTTTGTTGCTTCCAGTTGAAGGACGATGAATTGAATCTGCACCGTTTTATTTTACAATAAAATCTTGAAGCACACATATAAAGTATGTTTATAAGCTTATATATACATAATAATATGAAGTATAATTTTATGTATTTTTTGGAATTGCGTTCAAGTTAATTTTTTCAATTTCCAGTGTTTCTTCTAAAGCTGTCAATTCCACTTCAAATATCAAATATCAATTTGATGTGAAATAATAACTACAAATATATGTAAACCAAAAATAACTTGTGAATGCATTCATTGCAAGATTTGTTCTTGTATCAGATCTTTTAATTGGGAATTAGTAATTAGACGCTGGTTTATATGGTCATACTATAATCGCAGTTACTTTTAAATCTAAAAATAAATAAGTATTAATAAGAGTGTACATTATATGTCTTATTCCATAATTAAAAAATAAGTATTATGTATGATAGATGTGTCAAGGAGTTTAGTTACATGGAAGTGTAACCATGTAAACCATCACAATAAAAACTCACTTTTGTAAGCAAAGTGTACGATCTTTATATGTAATCAAAGTATAATTTCATTTACACACGTGAAAAAAATCATTAACTATCGTTATGTGTACATAATGCTTTGTGTACAAGATGTACAACAACAAACAACTTGATAGTACAATTTTATGAGATTATCTGTAACGTAAAAGTATTTTTTACAGATTGAACTACAACTCAATAAAAATAACATTCAATTTTATTTTGGCCTTGGTTTATTTTGTGATTTATTCCCCACTTGTGTCCCTCCTCCACGACCTAATGGAGCTGGCCCTCTTCCACCTCTGCCAAAGGTACCTACAACATTAAAATGTCACAAATAAACCTCACTAGAAACTTACATTTTATGGACTTTTTATAATAAGACATTAGTAATCATAAGTCAAAGGCAAGTTAACCAACCATAGTCAATATTTTTGGAAATAATCGACTGTGATTGATTAATTTGCTTATAACTTCTGACTAATGGTTTATTGTAGAAGACCTATTAGAGTATAAGAGCAACTTTCTTATGCTTTGCTTTATGTGTAAAAAGCTTGGTAAAAATTTGATGAAATTCATATTTACCTCTTCCACCACCACGTCCTCTCTGACTCTGGCCTCTGCCTTTAATCTCACCACGTCCCCTTGATTTCATCTGTACATCCTCTTTTACCATATCTATTACTTCATCAGGAATCCTTAGATACTTTATTGTGCTACCTCTTATATAGCACTCTGGCATCCTCCAGAATTTATCGCCATCCTGAAACGTCAAATAGTGAGCAAATATCTAAATGTAAATTCATACCTGCCTTGAGCTATATACAGTAATGACCTTACCCTTGAGGTACATATGACTTCTCTGAGATTTACATTCATCCAGTTGTCACAGCTAACTAAATGTCCATTATACGTTTCCCCATTTTTAAGCTCCACCAGCTACGAAACGAAACATTGGGTTTGATTGTCTAAAGTCAGAATTCTTCAGATATCTTTACAATTTAGGTTAGATAAGGTTAGACGGCAAGAGAATTCAAGAACTTACCATGGGATGGTTTTGCGCAGTTCTTAATAAAGACAAAGGCAACTAGAGGAATGAAATAATATATATTAAATGGACGAAAGTATAATCTATTTAACTTTAATGAGAATAATAAACTCACCATTGTTTACACAGTTTAACTCAACTTAATTAAACCTCGCTCCCACTGGTCAATACATCTCGATACTCTCACGTCAATCGATATCGCGATACGATGGTTAGTAAGAAGCGTCGTATCGATTGGCTAAACGTCGAGTAGAGAATCTCTAAAATACCGGAACCACATACGGATTATGTTTACGACATGTATTATACGAATACAGATTATGTCTTTTTACCGAAAACTTTTTTTTGGAACCCTAAAGCTTGATCTACAATTATTTACTTTCTATTTCTTTATCTTATTCTGACTCACACCTTAAGCCTTAAACTAAAAAAAGATAGAGAATAAGAAACAGGAAGTAAAGAGCACATTGTAGATTAGGCTTTAAAGTCCCTGCTCGGTAGCGCCAACTGTCGGTGAATTAAGTTCCGATTTAACCGCCGGCACGGTGGGACGTGTCTGAAGGTTTCTTCAGGTTCAGACCAGTGATTTTTGGAAGTTGCCTTGGAACCTGCCAGGGCCTTGTTCACTCATATTTCATTTAAGGATTGGAGTAACCTTTTACCCCGGAGCCACTACTGAACAGAACAGAACAGAACAACTGTCGGGGAATCTTGTAAATTGTAACGCGTTCGGTTTATTTATTTTAGGTGCGATCCAACAACCGCTACAAATACTGCGCAGCGTTTCTCCCTCCTGTTCTATTCCTCGGATTCGAATAAAGAAAAAGAAAGAAGTAAAAACGCTACAAAGCATTTGCAGCGTCCGTGAACCTTTGTAGCAGCATTTTCTATACGTTCTCTTTCAAATCTCCTCCATCTTTATTTTCCATTAAATGTAATAAATATTATTGTTTTATCTTAAATGTAGAAAGTTAATATAGTTCAGACAAGCAGTTTTATTATTAACTTTCAATTTTTCGCGAAAAATCAGAGAAGGGTATGCGATTTAATTGTTCGATTTTGGACAATCGAAGAAATCATCGTGAACACGTAATTACATCCCACACAGCTCGTAATATTATATAATATCACAGTAATATTTCCGTAATATTGTAATATCGCAAAAATATTATTGAAATATTACTGTGATATTATATATATATATCACGTGCTGTGTGGGATTTATAACAAATCGATTACGGGAAGTGGAGTCTCTTCAAGTTAAATTAATTATTTTAATTATATAGTTGAAGGATAATTCAGACACCCTACATCAATTTTTTTCAAAACCAAACAGTGATCATTCCATCATTTTAAAGCTCTTGTGCGATTCTGTAACTCGTTATTGCAGTTAACAATAGTTTTATTATCGTTGCACAGCTTTTTCGTACCGTAGTAAAACTGCCTAGATAGTACAAATGTTCAATATCGAATCATAAGACGTCTTTAAGACATCTTTAAGTCAATATCTTATAAATTTGTCTTAAAAATATCTTAAAGACGTCTTATGACCTGATTTTGGACATTGTGCTGTCATTGGATGCACGACAATAACGAAACTATTGTTAACTACAATAACTATTTAACTACAATAACGAGTTATCGCACCACTGGCTTCAAGTCTCGATAACGTTAGAAGCGAGGTAAATGCACGTTCAAATCCTGCAAAATTCTACGTTAAGATAAGAAGCATTCTCAATGTAATGTCGAATAAATTAGCACAAATTTAAATGCAGATCAGTTTGCTCGTCGTTACTGATCGTGTTACAATCTCTCATCTACAGGTCGACCTGCGTGACTGCCGATAATAAAGCACAGGTAACTTCGATTTCTATTGGCGAATTGCTCAACTTCCCGCAGATCAACGTATCGTGTTTCAGCTGCAACGCCGGCCGATTCATTCAATCCGCTCGTGGAAGTTGTACAAATAGAGCGGTTTCGTGAATGAAAGCATCGTCGTTGAACTCGTTGCATTGCTCAATATTATCTTCGACGTCATCTCGACAATTGAATAACCTGATGCCGCGTGGATTCTTTTGTGTACGATCGCGATATCGGCGATCAGTACACATTGCGATTTGATCGGTGAGTTTCATCAACAATTGAAAGAATATTTTCAAATTGAAAAATACAAATGATGATGTGCTATCGACATCTTCGACAACAGTCACTAATGTTTATGTAATAAAGTCGCCTATTGTTCTATTGGTAAACATACGTTGTAACTCAAACGAACCAACAGTCCTCGAGGGCATCGCGGATTTCTTCATAGCACGCAAGTCCGTAAGACAGGTAAGGCGCCCACTACGCGGCTCAACCGCAACGAAAAATAACTCGTCATTGTCACGCGCGACACAGTGCATCGCGCCGTTTATTCGCGGGTCATTCAGCTGGCACCTATCAACCAATCGTGGCCGCCTCGGAAACTGGAAGAAGAGGTGCTGACACGCTATGTCAACAAGAAAAAGTCTAAATATCTTTTATTGTGCGGACTTATCTTCGCGCCTGTGTGACGTGAATATTTTCCAGAAGAGTAAAAAGAGAATGCCGAACGATCAGAATGATCAGTGTGTTATTTAAAGAGAGAAGTATGGAACCGTGATAAGCGGATCGTACACTTGACGACAGACCGGGAAAATCGAGCAGGTAAAGATTTGAATGAATTGATGATTCCAAAATACGAGTAAATTTATGCATAAATTTTGCATAAAGAAATCGAAATTTTGCGACCTGCATTGATAGTCTTTACTTGAAACTCATCTCACATGAGATTCTCAGATCTGAATTCAGAGTCAGATCAGAGTTTTTCATATACAGTTAAATTATATAACACATGTATTAATAACGTACTAATTACCCTTACTTCAAATTTGTTTCACGCGAGATATTCAGATTTAAATTTTAAGTTATTCAACTAATGTTTCACTTGTATCACACGATATTTGTAACATTATACTTATAATCGCGATTTGACCAAGAAATTCACGTCCAACTCTGAATCCAGATCTGAGTATTTTACTTGATACATATTTCAAATAATTTATTAATATAAACCTATATGGCATATTTGCAATCATAGTTCTATTAAAAATTTCATATCTAACATCTTTAATACATCTAACAAAGAATACCAATCTGAATATCTTGTTTGAGAATCATGCTTCAAGTATCGACTTTTAATGTGGGACTGTGTAATTGTGTCACTTGAAACCATTGTCTTATGCTTCTGTGAAATAATAGTAAAAAAGCGAAAAATTTCTTTGCGACTATGAACATTCCCAGCGAATGACCGACTGAAAGCAGTAATAATGAAAGTGGTGATAACGTGAAAATGATAACAGAATTACCGCTTATTCGATTATTATTGTCACTAAACGCACGTACGTGTGTGCGTATGTGTATGCGCACGCATCTACATGGAGAAAAATAATTTTGCTCTTTTAGCAAAATCGTCATTGCTACTGCATATTCATAGCGACAACAAAAAAATTTAGTTGACGTAACTAATTTTACAAATTATTCGTTATTAGAGCAGAAGTAGTTTCGTTGCCAGGATAAAAAAAATTTTTATTGTTAAGTGTATTTGTCCTAAGAATCACGTTAATTTGCTATCGATGCAAAATAATATATCTTTAGCAAATTTATTTGCTATCGGAGCAAAACTGCAACTGCTTATATAAATTTATCATAGTTCTTACAGAAAAATAATTTGTAGATTCAGCAAATAATGATTAGTACTCTTAGCAAATATTTCTGCTGTCCATATAATAACGAAAAGATTTTGCTAGACCAACAGAAAATTTGCTGGGCCAGCAAATTATTTTTCTCCGTGTAGGATAACTCAAAAGTTGCATATTTACGTTTCCTATAGAAAGAATCACGTAACATTTCTTTTATGTAAAAAGACGTCAAGGCGATACGTAAGGTAAAAAATTATACGCAATATTTTATTAAGAACAACCTCATTAATAATTCGCAGATTGTAAAATATCATAGCAAGGCAAAGTGAAACGAAGAAAAATCGCTAACAAGATATCGACAATGTTTACTTGAGTCACATCCTGTGGTTATTATCGGTTGTTACGATATTATCGATATTGGAATAGAACCTACACGCGATAGAC